TATTCTGGCATGGCCATTTCCTGGCTGTGTGATATTAGGCAATTGCTTAACACTGATGAACTCCGCTTTCCTCACTTGTAAAATGTGGGTAATAATAATACTTTATAAGTTTGTTGTGATTGCTCAAAGTTAGTAAACTTGCATTAAGTGGCCAATAAAAGTTACCTTTTATCATGTTTTTGCATGAAATTTACTAAGATATTAAATCTTTTGACCAAAGAAAGAATATTAAGAAAAAAAGAGAAAGAATATTAAGAATATTAACTATGTACCCTTAAAATTTTTGTTTTATATGATTAAAATCAAAAGAATTATAAAATACATGACATATTAAAAGTAATTTTCTATGGGAAGATGTATGGAGTAGGTAGAATTATATATGACTTATTATATGACAGTGTTTATTTTATCTCTATCAATTAATAGATAGGTAGATTAAAATTTTTTTGCTATTACTGTAGTATACTATCTAGTTCATATATCTTTTGCTATTTGTATGACATTTTGCCATTCAGTAAGAGCTATTCCCAGAAATGAGCTGAAAAATATATGCATTAAAGATTTTAATCAATAACACCAAATTATCCTCAAAAAGGTTTTTCTAACTTTCTACAATATGTTTGTCTTTAAGGTACTCCATTTTGTAATCAGGAAAAAAAAGTTAAGATTAAAAAAAAGATGCTATAACTGAGGGTGAGGGAGGAATTCAGTATAAACAAACAAAAAACATGATTTCAATAATATTTTCTGTATTTTCTGTTAGTACTTAAAGGATAATTTCTGATAAACCATTAAAGTTTTTTTCTTTCTTAATACACGTTGTTGTTGTTTTTTATTCTTTTTAAGGAAACTTTCACTGTCCACAAACTGCATTGAGAAAATCGCTAACCTGAATGGCTTAAGTAAGTGATCCACAGTAACGGTTGGTTCTTGGATTTTTTAGTTATTTGAATAAACATTCCAGACATACTATGTAATCCTAAAACTGACACCAGTTTTAACCCAGTAATTGTGAGATAACAGAATATGTAAACCATATGTCTTGAATTTTAATTAGCGTCCAGAGAAAATCAGAAATAACGTAAGATGTGGGGTGTGTGTGTGTGTGTGTGTG